CGCTACTTGATAGGCTTATTTGAATGTTCAAAAACGGAAGCCAGTTTTTTCTCGGTTTTTCCCAGGTGAACTTTATGTACTCAGACTGCTCGTTCAATAATTCAAAGCATTTGTCCATCTCCTCCTGCGTAGAGAAGACGACAAAACAATCATTTACATATCTGCAGTGGAGTGGTGGCCGGAGATCGAGAACAGGGGCTTCTATCTTAGACATAAACACGATGGCAAGGCTTGGAGCCAGTCGCTGTCCTATTACCAACCCCCTTATTTGCGCGAAATATTTCCTAGACCTTCAACGATGCTGAGATAATTGCAAAACACCGGACCGCAGGTGTGTGCGGTGGGGAACGAACACACGCTGTTGTCCTTACCGGAGAACAGCGCACTTCACCACCACACCATCCGGGTCCTTCGTTTTGCCTGTCTCTCAGCTAGTTCTATGGATAGATCTATCAAAAGATCGATAGAACTAGCTGAGAGACAGGCATAACGAAGGACCCGGATGGTGTGGTGGTGAAGTGCGCTGCTCCCCGATAAGGACAACAGCTCATGTTCGTTTCCCAACGCATACACCTGCGGTCCGGAGCTTTGCAAATATCTCAGCATCGTTGAAGCTATATTTCACAATGAATACCCTACCGTTAAAAAGAGTAGGCAGCAAATAATAAGTTGAAATTGTGTTTATTTCCATCTGAAAATCGAGCAGTTTATCCACTCCTTTAAGAGAGCTATCAGCTGCCGGATGGACAAGCCATGCATATTTATTCTTCCTTCATGTTCAACAGAAAGTTCGAAAATGGCTTCCATTGCGTAGTCATTCGACACCTTGGCGTACAGCGCGGTAACGTCGAAAGACTCCATCAAGTGCCCGTTATTATGAAATGCGTTACGTTGACGTTCTAGGAACATTTGGGTGTTTGTGAGGTGAGCTGGAATGTGCTTAAGCAACTGGGTAACTACTAGGCTTAAAAACCAGGTTATTCTATCCGTTGGCCCGTCTACACGGCTGATTATGGGTCCAACCTTAAATGATGACGGATTGGTTGACGCAAGATCATCACGTGATACCAACTTATGTATTCTAACAAGTGGGTATAGGACGGGACATGTTGGTTTATCGTTTTTAAAGCGCGAAATAACCGGTGATTTTAGACCTGCAGCCTTTGCCACAGTGACCCATTGATTGTTTAGCTTTCGATATTGACTTTTATATTCCTTTTCAGAGGATGGGCGATAGAGGATAGCATCACTAAGATGTTCCTCTGTTATCTCAAGATCCAGTTGGCGAGGGATAACAACGAACTCTCCCCCCTTATCATTAACTGACAATCTTATTGTTTTCGAGTTTATTAATTCTCTAGTTTCTGGCATGCCACATTTTTGTGCGGCTGTAAGGTTAGAGATAAACGCCCTATCGCAGTAGTGATTAAGGGTCTTGAGAACGCCGTCCGAAAACATGCGGAATTTTATGTCAACTCCATCGTTAGAGTCTTGCTATCTAAAAATCGTTTCAAGGAAAGGAGATGGTGATAGTGCCGCAGCCTCTTGATTTTTATCTCTATTTGATGCTTCTTGTTTGGCCTGATAGCGGAGTCGATCTTGAAGCTCATAAAGGTTGCATGCTATCCTACGCATCGTCGTTTTAGAAATGGGCTGCGATGGTGCAAAACTTGGGCCCAATTCAAATAGCGAGCGCGCACTCTCAGCTATTGCTATGCCTCCAATTACGGTGACCCTAAAATTTCTTGGTGCATTATCAACCCAATTTTGACTATTACCAGAAGCGTAAAGGATCGTAGACATCTTGGAATCTGTAGTAGACTTTGGCCAGGCTGACCACGTAATTCCAGGGCACCGCAATGACTTAACCAGCAAATCTCCGAAATGTGGAGATTATGCTGAAGCTCTCACAATTAGTGAGCACAGGCCATTCAAGTATCAAGTATCAAGTAACTGGAGAATTCGGAGAGATTCGTTCCGTTGAGCGTGAATGGAGCATATGAAACCAATCCGTTCTTCATGAACATCGTTTTTGCGAGATTTAGTCGAAAACCAATCTTTCCACTGGCCTTATCAAAGTCGGCAAGCATATGTTCTTCTAGGCTAATGTTTGGTATCATAAGGACGATGTCGTCAGCAAAGCCAACATGGTGCAACTGCCGACCATCGATTTTCACTCCCATATCATCCCATTCCAATGTTCGTATGACGTTCTGGAGGGTGGCGGTAAATAATTTTGGTGAGATGGTATCGCCTTGCCTAACTCCTCTTTTGACATCAATGTTAATATCGTTATAGAATTGTGATATCTTGGTTGTGAATTTTTTGTACAGCTCACGAAGAGTCTTTATGTACTGAATAGGGACTTCTTGACTATCAAGGGCTTCCATGACTGCTTTGTAGGGGTATGATTCTCCCTTCGGGTGCGAGAGGTCCCGGTTTCGAATCCCTGTTCCAACCAGATTTTGCGTAAAGCTCAATCGTCTATAATCACACACGCGAGCTTCAATACAGCGGTAAACTGGAGGTTTATCAATGTTTGATTAAAGCGAAAAGAAGAAGCAGTGGCAGTAGTGCGTAAGGTCACGTGTTCGAATGCGGTACGGGACAGATTTTGCGTGCAACTCTGCCGCCGACAGTCACTAGTTTCGACAACAACTTCAAGTTTTACTAGATTCCTTGTATTCTTTCGATTGTTTATTGGACGCATAACTTGAGGAGGCAGTCGGCTTAAAGAAGCTCTATTTTGCACTTAGAAATATGGAAAGACACAAAAAGCTTCTCTGGAAGGAATCCATTGACCAAGATGCTTGCGATTGATTATTTTTTTCATATCTAATAATACAACGAATAATAGTTATTGTGAAATATAACTTCAATGATGGTGAAATATTTGCAAAACTCCGGACCGCAGGTGTATGCAGTGGGGAACGAATGCGCTGTTTTCCTTTCCGGAAGTAGCGCGTTTACCACCACACCACGTCGGTCCTTCGTTTCGCTTGTCTCTAGTTCATTGAAGTTATATTTCACAATGTATACCCTGCCGTTAAAAAGAGTAAGCAGTAAATAATAAGTTAAAATTGTGATAGATATTGTGTTTAGCGCACGGGTGTAAAAATGCAAAATAGGGCACAGCAAAGCCTTCTAGAACGTAATCTGGACACCTGGCGTTGTCTCGCTATTTTTAATTTCAGGCATTTTATATAAAGAGATTAAAGTGAACTGAGTTGACTTTATGGTTACCGCGCTACGTGGTGTCCGTTTATGATTGTATTTCATGTGACCATTTTCAACAGTACCATTGCTTGCTCTTCGCATTTCGTTTATTTGGAAACTCACATATAGAAAAACTGTATAATTTTCGGCATTTCGTATGGGAATGGTACGTAGTTCTCAGGATGGTTAAAAACCACTGCAGATAGTTTCTTTAAAGTAATTTTTTATCAAACCCTCTTCGTTTCTTCATTCTGTTGAACAGAATCGTCTGCGTTCTGGCTTTCCTGTGACTGTGCACTGCGGATGCAAACAGCAAAAGAAACATGAGAAACACTGAAAGTTCGCAAATAGATTTTTCAAAAATTTTTTGGAGAAGTAACTTATGTTAATAACCTTATGCTTCCAACTGTTTACCGCTTCGTTCTGGCTAGGAGATGTTCTTGGGTATCGAGATGTACAGCGGGGTAATTCATCTTCTCATGGTCTCCCAAACTGACAAGGAATCCGGCGTTTCCATCAGGAAGCCTAGCTAAGAGTAAACCAATACCCGGATCCACCACCGTTCTGGTGTCAAAGTCGCGTGGTGGCAAATCTTCCTTCTTCTTCTGATCCACAGGTGCTCCTACTGCCTGTCGTTGTGAAGACCTGGGAAAACTTTGCCCAGGTTGACCTCGGGATTCAGGGGAATCACAATGGATTAAACCACAAATATTCGAAAATCGAGATTATGCTGGGACCCTCACAACCACCAGTAAGGAGTGGCTATTCAAGTATCAAGTTAAGTATTAAATAATAATCTTGTGATTAACGAACGTCATTGTCATCTATTCCGTAGTTATTTCAAGAAATATTTTGACGTTTTTATATATCTAGTTTTGTTTTCAGTCTGACTATTGACACGTTACTTAACCAATATTTTGGCAGATCCCTGGGTTTCTCGCATTCGATTCGCTTCCTCGCATCTATCATCCACGAAAGTTTTAAACTGCTTGCTTATGGCTTCGTCTGCTGCATAGGAATTTTCGTCTTCTTTGCGAATGCTATTGAATCTTGGTCTACTCGGTTTTCTTTTTAATCCTGAGATATCAGTAATAAAGAGTCTGCGCTTTGATTAGTGGAAGTGAACTGTTCTCAGAGGTACCAAATTCCCCATCTTGAGCGACTGAAGGGGTGGTGTGCCCGAGACGAAGTTGAACGAACGCCGGGATTAGGCTCTGGCGTAATGAACGGGACCATCATTGCGCCACCCGCGCTTTGTATTAATCATATGGTGAAAAGTGTACAATTTCGCTTAAATTGTCGTTCCCTAGTCGCCTTGAAGCTCCCGGCTAGTGGCAGAACTCAATCTTGTAACAGGCTTCCAACTTACATCACAAGGCAGTAAACCATTCTCAGATCTCTAAAGGTTGCTATAGCCTCTGTCGAAGAGATGTAAACGCTAAAACGCGACTAATTCGTGATTCCAAGAAAAAGCCACGTTAATTTCGAACACAATAAGGCCTTGCAATTGGCTTTAAATATAACTTTTGAGGGAAAACGAATAATAATGAAGCTTGTACAATGTTAAATGAGTGCCATCTAGGTGACCATCTAGGTAGAGATATGTTACAATGATAACATGCAACTCAATAGAGAACGCTAACGCTGTTCCAAATTCGAATTGGATAAATTAATCAATCAATTAAGATATGTAATTAAATCGAAATGAGTTTTCTCAAAAAAAAACTAACTGTCAAGTTTTCAGCACTTCGTGAACTTCATTGAGACAAACAGTTTTCATTGAGTTATGAGTGATACTTGATAAAATTCCGTAATGAACACTCACGGGTGATTGCCGTAGCCCATAATATAATTGTGCCGCTGTCGTCTCGAAGGCCAAGTTGTATGCTAAAAAGTTCCTTCTTGTTTGATACACGGCAGATATCGGAATTGAATTCATTGAAATGCTCATAATTCTACAGAGTGATATCGAATATCTGAATGACCACATTTATAACAATTAATTAGTTTAAGAAAATCTGTTGGATTCTAAGCATGCTGTGTGAAATTTATCACAGGTGGAATAGACTCGTCCAACGTTCTAGAATATTTAAAACAGGAAGCGACATTTCATGGTTTGAACTCATTAGTGAGCTCATAGATTTTATTGCATAACAGATTCGCCACGATATAACCCTTAAAGGAGTAATACAATGCGAAAATAATGTCCCCTTTAACGTTCAATTATTAATTGCAATAAAAACTCTTAGAATCTAGAAATCATTGCCTGGAAGATAACAACTCTCTCATATCGCTAAGATGAAATTGTGATTTGCTGAAGCTCATGACTCGTATCACTCATTTCAAGGGGATTTTGAGTGAATGAACAAATGAGCAGACATAGTGTCCAGGACGTCACAATGGTGTTACATAAGAGATCGATCATATTCATAACTGCCGTTCTTTTGTCGGAAATTTTACAGAGTTGAATTCAATTTTCAATTTTTCAAAAGCTTTGATTACAAATATATTGAAATTTAAAAAAACGTTTTATAAATACCAAATGTATCCTATTCGAAATAACAAAGTCTCTACTTTAAAGGAAATTCCGTTGTCCTAAAATTGTCGAGTAGTCGTGAAATTATCATCTGTTATCAAAAAACCATCTTCATCGCGTAAGTGTTAAATTAGTACGCGAGCTCATAACGAACTAGCAGATTCAAAAAACATGTAAGATCTATTGATCTTCGGCAGTAACAGAGAAAAATTTCTTCTCATAAACAAATGGAAAACCGATTTTCTCAATTCCATATCCTAACCACAAAAATCACTTTTTCTGCTTTCTTAGTCGCTAGTTTTCGAACAGCAAAATTTGTCTTGCACAAAGGGACGATGTACGCGAATGATAAGCAGTCGGAGCCTTCGCGATTTGTAAATTTTAAAATTTTTTGAATAAGTGCACTTGTTTAAAATTTAGTTTAAAAATTTTTGAGTAAACATAGAATTTTTGCAACTTTGCATACGGTTGGGCAGATGGAGAGAAGTCCTTTAACACATTTATCAAGTTTTCTAATGCTTAACAACTCTAATTATAGGAAAATTATCGATGGTTAGCGAAAAACCAGAATCATTGCCAGCGTTTTGACAAAGGTTTTATGTGTTAAAATCAAAGTCCTCAAAGGCTCTCACGCAGTGCAAAGTCTTTGTCCAAGCATTCCTTTGAGGTGAATTAGTGCAGCTTAGAGGAATAACAATGACTAAAACATTAGATTAATGAATTACTAAGAGATGTGTTAAGCATTCGACCTCGTAAAGCATCGTTAGAAGTGAGTGAGTGCATATCTGACTCATGCAGTGACTTCCGGGTGCCCACCAATTTATCAAATAATGCTGCTGTCCTCCTTGACAAGTGTGGTGTTAATTTGCCAAGCCTTGAGGGAAGGAAAGAAAGCTTGCTGAACCCGCAAGGTCGAATGAAGGACCGAGGGTGCATTACGGAGCAGCTTCAAGCATTTGCTACACCCATCCCAATAATGGGTATATTTTATTGTGCACATTTTCAGTTATTTCAGGTAATTCATATAGCAGGTTGAAAGTCAAAATCGAAGTGCACTTTTTGAATATAGACTTCAGTTTCGCTCTCGAAATTTTAGAACAGCTATTTGAATCGTTGTCAATCGTGGCCAATCAGTCATTGATGACTAACACTAACCTTGCATCTTGTAGTTGTATATTAAGTTGTCTCCCATCTGCCAATGTTAATTCGATCCGCCTTCGAGCATCTCTTGGTTTTACATTTGTTAGCAGCAAGTCTCCGCTCTTAAGCAACACAGTTCCCTGTTCCAAACAGCCTCTTGAAGCATCATAGTGATTTGCATATCGTGATGAGACTTTCCAACGCGCCTGAATGATATCGCTCATGTACACGAGGAATTTCCTGTTCTGTCGAGAGCAAAACAAATTTTCTGTTCTTAATTTCTAACGTTTTTGAAGAACTATATTTAAATGTGCAGTAAATTTTAATAAATCTACAGTAAGAGTGAAATTAGGCTAAGCGACAGTATAATTATTTCAGCAATTCAGCAGACTTGATGTTGCTTTACATAGAGCGAGTAGTTTGATCTCAGCCTCTTGGCACCTCAACATGTTGGTGAAAACGCTAGAAGAAAAAAGACGGCAAATAGCATGATCTGATCTACAATGGGCAGCTATTGCTTGTACTAAAGAAGTAGGAAGGTCCCGGACGGCTATCTAGGAATCCAACTGAGATTTACCTCGACCACATGTTAAGTCAAGCAAGAGCATCAGATGTCTTGAAACCTCTAAGACATCAATACACACACGATACGATATGGTGTCTGCTTCCAACTATGCATGTAAGCAAAACCTTCACCTCATTCTAATCTGCTGTTCCTTGGCGCCAAATTCCACACAGTCGTCTTTGAAGAAACACTGGGTATGAAAACTTTAACTCAGTATATGATCAACGGAAACATTTCATTCTCTCTTAAAAGATTTCGTTGTGGCGCCGTTAACTTTACCGATAACCCAAACTTAACGCACCTCCTCGACTGTTATGAAATCCAGCTTCCCTAATTTGACATCATAAGCCTTCAACTACTTCATCAGCAAAAAAGTCGGCGTTGTCAGCTGGTGATACTAAAAACTCGGCGCGTTTTATGAAAACCTATTGAAAGCCGCTCGTAACGAGTCTTTCGCTGATTTTGCTAAAGACGACTTCAAGCAAGTGCAGGAGCTGCACAGGACAGCAGTACAGGATCGGAAACTGTTGATGAGGTTACAATTACAGCTGCCAAAGTAAATTTTTGGAATTGCTCCCAGCAATTCCATTTTCCATGGAAATTTTTTTTTGAAGATGAAAGAAAACTACGGAATAGGGGCCTTCCGAACAATGCGATTCATGGTTAACGATCACATCCTTGTCAATAGAGGATAGAATATACTCGACGACGATGTTGTATAATGTGTTTAAACTTAACTTTACTATAAAGCGAAAACAAATGCCAGACCCGAGCGGAAAGAGGGAAAAAACCAAATCAAGCGACTTCACCCTCATCAGGGCGGTATCCAAATAATACTCCCAGAGTAGCCTGACGACTTCCCAATATTTAATGAATAATCTCCTATACACTTGGAAATGAAAATAAGCTTTTAAAGCTTTTAAAGCTGAACCGCTTCGAAAAAGAGTACGTGGTTTCGATTATTATCGAACCAATTTCCATCAACATTTGGAAAAAGGCAGTGCAAAGATATTCACCACACGCTCTACTTGCCACAAACACCAATAGGGGACACCTCGTGATCTTTTTGTCAATCTCGTGTTAGCTCAATTGTCCAGAGAGGTATAACTAGGTGAATTTTGCAATTGCCATCCTACCAGCTTACTGAACGAACTTTTTACGCTTATCAGGAACGCCGCGTTCGTCTCGAAAAACGTAGATGATTCACATATTATATAACAAATAGGATCTTGGAGAGAATTTAGCTGTATAGATGATCTCCAAACACTTTCAAGACTCGTGGAAGCTTGTAAGGAGTACCATATACTTTCTATATACTCTCTATGCTAACCTTGTCTGATTTCACGAAAAGTTCAATGTCTTCAGACCAGTTCTGTTCCTTTGCATTAGTTGACCGAACATAATCATAGACATTTCGAAAAATAAAAAATTGTTGGCTGCAAAAGCCGCTATGTTAACGTGATCTTACCACTGACCATTTACTATTCCGTCTTTTCAGTGGTAAAGGAAGATAAAGCTCCCGGCTTTGATCAATACCTGAGGGATGCGCCACGCGTTCGACTTCATTAAGTATCGTTAGAGGTGGTCGAATGCATATCTGGCCTTCACAGTTACTCGTGGTGTCCTACCGCTGAATCGAGCCAGTGCTGCTTTTCTTCCAGACAAGTCTGATAGCAATTTGCCGACCCTAGAGTGATGAAGGGCTTAGTGGGCCAGGGGAGCGGGGCTCGATCTCAAGTGTGTGTTCCTGGGCGCCACTGACCACTCCACCACACGCGCCCCCTTTTCAGTGGCACAGATAGTAATGAAACATAAATGTTTTGATACGTAGTTGCTTTCAAACATTTGCTTTGCTAAGTGATATTTGCGTCATTGAACTCTAACGTTTAATGCTATTAAATCCAAGCAGTTCACTTTTGTACACGAATAACAAATTGATAGGGCTAAATGTGTGTAAAAAGTCAGGAAACTGCTTGCTATAATAATAAGTGAAGTAAGTGACATTCAACCACCTAATCGTCTACGTCGAAGTACCATGCTGATGATCTAAGCCTCTGTCTTTTACATTTGTTATAAGAAAACTAACCCTTGTCGCATCAGTGGAAAATATCTCCTCCCTAATGCGAAGCCGATAGTTCTCGCCGGGATATAATCTGAAAAAAAAAGAAAAATTAATTACTTGATTGAAGTAATTAAAGGAATAAAATTGACCTAATGACGGATTGTTCGTGTTCAATGAAAATGATTTTGATTTCGCTCTCGTATTCATCGCACGGATCGACCTCTTCTTGGAGTTCTAGGACACTTTTTGACTGAAAGATTAGAAAAATCTTAAGTAGTCGGCCCAGCCTTTTTTTTGAAAAACTTTTATGGGGGTTTTAGAAATTATTTACAGAGATTATCTTCGTAAATGAATAGTGACACCTTTATACTTATGCCTCGACATTCAGCCAGTTTGTTACAGTCGTACTTTTCCTCCGTACAGGAAATTTCATCAATGTAAAACCCAGGGTGATTTTCGACGACAGTTGACGTTTCGTTCTCGTCGATGATTGATTTGAAGCGTTCGGTGTAAAGCTGATCCTAAATGCAGTACTGTCATCGGTTTTCAGATCTGCCTCTTTTTGAACTTTTATTCTAAGAGCACCTTGCAACGGTTTACCGCCTCATCGTGGCTGGGAGGTGTTCCTGGGTGTCGGACTGCGATCGATTCGTCCCCCCACCAGAGTATCCCAAGCTGAAAAGGAGTCCGGCGTTCCCATCAGGAAACCTAGCTAAGAGTAAACCAATGCCAAGATTCACCACCGTCTTGGTATCAAAGTCACATGGTGGTAAATCTCTCTCTGATCCACAAGAGCTGCGACTGCCTGTCGTGGTTACGACCTGGGGCAGACTTTGGCCAGGCTGTCATCGAGATTCCAGAGAATCACAATGGCTTAACCAGCAAATCTCCGAAAAATGGTGATTATGCTGGGGCTCGCACAACTTATGATGACGACTCGCTCAAGTATCAAGTATTCTAAGATCAACAATTTCCCATTCATTGGATTTTATTGGACTTTCGGATTTCTGTGAGCGATTCTCAATCTTCAGCGAAAAAAAAGCCAGGGAAGATATATAGAGTAAAGAAAAACATCAAGTAAGTGACCAATAGGAGAATGAAAACCTTCACGTTGAGCTTCTGCTCGAAAAGGCTGTCTAGAAAATCTACAGAAACTTTTTCAAATACCAAATAGGTTGTGACAAGACATCAGATGTACGCCCGTTGGCAGCATGAATCTTGCGAAAATCGGTCGCATCTTCAAAAATCACAAAACAGTTCCTCCTTGACACCGCCGTAATTCGTGACAGCATTCGTGTCAGCTAAATGTTAAAAGTGCCATCCGCTGAGGACCACTGCAGAGCCTACATTTGCACAACAAGAAAAAATGTTGGAAGCAGATCAAAGGAAAGACATTTTAAATGAACGTTAGCGGGATTTGTGTAAATACAATGTTCGCCTTTTACCGTTTTTCTCCTATGTTATGAAACTGATAACGGAAAGTTTTATACTATTTCCTACACATTTCCTACACACTATTCCCCGTCCCATAGACCACAATTCTCAACGTTGAAAAATTATCCCGGATTAATAACTCTCATGTCCCTGGCACTACAACAGCTTGGAGAGAGATACAGCTTCTGCTGACTTTGCGGACGACTTGCTTATAATTAGGAGTCACAAATCACACTCACTTCTTGAAATGAGTGCTACTATCTTGAACAGATCATAAACAAAACGTTGCTAGAATCATTAAAAATTGAGCGATTTATCAGTATTATTATCATATTGTCTAAAATTTCATCGACTAAAAGAAGCTTTCCGAAGCACTGAACTAATGTTGTCCTACCAGACATCCGTAATTATGCAAAGCAGGACCATTTCCAAAATCTACAGGTGTTCTTGATTCTCTATTGGTCCCATACCCCACCCGCTTGGAGCTAGGTCCAATAGCACAAGACAATTTCACGAAAACACTTTAAGGTAGCATTCAAATGGCAAATTTACATAAAATCTTCACTTTTCTATTCAAATACTGCGAAAGAATCACAGATGCTAGCTAGAGAGATTAACATGAAAAAGGCACTGTATAGAAGAGCAACATGCATCATATTTAGAACCACAATTGATCAACTCATGGACCTGAAGCTAAGCGCTTGTGATTTTCACTCAGAAGTCACTTTTGTGCTCCGGCGTTCACTAAATCCTAGGTTGATAAGTCAGTCACGTCACAAATTTTTGTGTCACCAACAAAGGGCATAGACCGTGATTTTCAAATATAAGCGGCACACAGAATATCAAATCGTAGTTCATGTGCAGTTAAGACCTTTGAAAAATATCCCGTTTTGTATCTCGTGTTCAATGTTTACGAGAACTTGCTTTGCCAAGAAAACAGATGTGACAACGCTAACTTTTTATTTAGCTTCCTACTATAATTTTTCACAGCAAGGTATTATGCGAAATACAACCACAATGATGCTGAGATATTTTCAAAACTCCGGACCGCAGTTGTCTTCGATGGGGAACGAATGCGCAATTACGCTTTTCTGAGGATCTATATCTATATCTCAGCACCATTATGGTTGTATTTCGCATTATATAGCCTGCCGTGAAAAATTATGGTATGTAGCAAATAAAAGGTTAGCATTGTGGTTTCAACTAGAGTCTCAGCTTAACTAGCTTCAATGTCGATTTGGGATTTCCAGATTAACACCGTTGATGGGTGATTAGAGATTGCGCTGATCGATAAAGCTAACAGAGAGGCAGACGAGAAGAAGGACCCGCATGGTGTGGTGGTGAACGCGTTAACCCCTTGATAGGGTAATAGCGCGTTCGTTCCCCACCGCACAGACACCAGTGCTCCAGAGTTTTGCAAAACAGATGGTGTTTTTTGTACCTCGTCCTCGGTTTTCAGGAAAACTTGCTTTGCGAAGAAAACAAATGTGGTCAGCAGTGTAGCGAGAAGGGATGGTAATAGATGGAAAGGAATAACGGACTGAACATCAATGGAATATAAGGATCCCCAAGACGATAAATACAAGATAGGCAGATATTTTTCAAATCCCTTCGAACAGCGGCGTTCAAAAACGATTTGTCGACCACGAAATATTACTCACAAACTTCGTCATGATCGAAACAGTGCACCACTATTAACAGCCAGCATGCAGAGCACATCTATGTGTTGCGCCGAGTACGAATTCCTAGTCTAAGTGCAACGAAAATTCAGAAGACGCTCAGGTTAAGAACCAAGTCTATGTAGACCGAAGACCAACCACGAAATCTATTGCGAAATTAGACTCAAGAGCACTTTAGAAGACGACTATAATAAATAAACGACGATTCGATGTACAGAAAAACCCAGCACCGAATGAGTTTTTGAAGTAAGCCCTTGTTCAGTCCAATCACAGCTACAGTTCAAATCTTTTCTCAACAGTTTACTATGAAGTGGAAGAGGCAAACGAACGGTATCATATTAAAATTATATCTTCTAGTGAAATGAAACAACTTATTTTATATGTTAAACAGTGGTGTTTAACACGATGACAAATCTATTTCTCTTGCTGAATTACTCAAGATGATCAGGAATTGCTTCCATCAAAGATTCCTTTATGAGTAAGAGTAAGTCACTGCCAGAAAATGGCCTTTGCGAGCTCTAGCGATTGGTTTTGTCGATGACATAAACGCTCTGACAAAACAATCTGATATGCATGTGTGAAATTTCTAAAAAAAGTATCACGTCGTTTCACCTTACACGAAGGTATTAAGCTTTTCAAGCGGTGAGCGATTCATTGTTGCGGGTACTCTTTTAGCTAATGAATTCTTTTGGCTAATGAACTACTTCTGGAGGAAGTTCGACTGTTGACAAATCTATCAAAACTACGAAGTTTAGCCATTTTATCCGAAACTTTCGAAAGCCCAGTTGTAAGTGAGAACTTTTTTTTCGAATCGCGCAAGCTCGCCACAGCGAGTTATGACACCATGGAAGAGCTCTAGTACGACTACCTCAAAACTTGAAGGAAAAAATCGCTGAACTAACTTCTTCACATTCCGATACCGAAACGACATGTGAAGATAGGCCGTCCAACTGTTAAAGCGAGTAAGTGAACAATTAAGTAATCTTTAAGAAAGGAAATCTCATTTAATAAAGGAGAGGATAAATCTTTGGCGTTCGTCAATCCCTGAGAGATGCAGCACACCCTCAATTCTATTTGAGGAATCGTAGAGATGATTGCATACATATCTGGCCTATACAAGGAATTATGGCTGACTGTCGATGTATTGGGTCAATATTTCTATCGTCCCAAGCCAGTGTGGCAGTAATTTACCAAACCTGAAGTAATGGAAGGCTTAGTGGGTCAGCGACGTCGAACCGAAAATCACATTTGTATTAAAGGCCGCATCTAACCGATGCGCTACAAGCGCCTAGCTCTCAACTGCATTAAAACCATTTAACTGAGGGTAAAATATAAGCACCTTAAACCAACCTTGTACTTTTTGACTTCAACCAAGTAACTAGCAGTCTCCCATATCGTCGAGAATAGTGCGACCCCTCTTTCCCTATATGGACTTATCGACATCATTTTCTGGAATTTAGCGTCCACAGCATTTCTGTCCCAAGGACGAATCTGAATCACTATTTAAACTGCAACATATTTTATTTTGGCCGATGACGGTCTCGCTTAAAAAGCAATTGTCGAAGAAAATTTCTCATCAAAAGAGCAACTTACAGGTTTATTAATATTTATCTTCATTAAGGAGAGATATCCTTTGCGAATTTTAACCGACGGTAGAGTATTACTGAATTTAAATTCATCAACTACTGTTTACCTATAAAATTTATAAACTGGTTGATAAAACCATTTCCTATCCGGCGTGTATAACTTCCCACATAATTGTCCCGAACAGCAACAAGCCGAGCAGCATGACCAATCGTCCCAGCTTATATCGATCTTAACTGAATTGGTAAACCAACTATTTTAAAACTGATCTCCATCGTTTTACAGACTTGGTCGACAAAAAGGTTGAGATGCTTTTAGTTTATAATAACCTCTAAAATCGAGAATGAGTCAGCAAAAGTCAGATAGCTTATCGCTGAGCAATCTCCTTGGTACGGAAGTGAAAAACCAAGGCACTTAAGAAAGAGGCACCCTTCCACTGTTTAAATACTATAAAATCAAAAAAAGCGAATTAAAGTAAGGTTAGAAAAATGAGAATGAATCTAAGAAAAATTAGTCGGAAGACATCTTTCTATTTACATATCACTTAGTACGAACCTTTAAGTTGGACCTTAGGTCAAGAATTGGAAGTGACTCTTTGCTTTCTTCTGGTTTCTTTTTCTCAAGATCAAGTACTTTAATATCAGAATACTTCAGCACTCTTTTCTCTGCAAGTACTTTTGAAATATTCATCTAAAATGCAACAAAGTCCACACAACTAGAAGACCTCTCGGACACCCTACTTACCATTTACAAGATAGTCAACATTGATGACCACTCCTAAACTTCTCGGCTCGTTGTCAACCAACTGCAAGCTTTGTGGCCATTTCGAAGATATTTAGTAAAATAAAGTCTAATGCGAAGCCTTATAAAAGTTTAAAAAGCAAAGATACTCCAGGTAATCTAAATGTTTAAACATTTGTCAAAATTTTGAAGAACTTTGTATAATTTTCCACTAAGTAACAATTTCTGTGATGCTTAGCCAACTAGTTACGCCGCTCGTGAGAAAAGGCCCTTGGTAAAGTAAGCACTGAGTCGCTGGTTTTAAAGAGATTTATTGTTTGGATAAGAATTCAGTACTCATAATGCAAAACTGTTCTGCTGAGAAAAGATGTGTTGTTGTAGTTCAAACCAATTGATTTCTGTTTACAAAATTGCCATCAACGATTAAATAGCAAAAACTACTGGGTAAGTCAACAAGTTGCCGGTTCTAAAAATGTTGCTCTGTGCAACCATTCGAGAATTATGCATGAAGAGATCGTTCACAGGTGCTTTTGCACTTTGATTTTTCACAGAAAAACGCACAACTTATTTCCACTTGCAATGGTGAGGAATGGTTTAAGGTATCGGTATATAGATGCGGTCCCCTCCTCCATGTCTGGCTCCTGCCGTATTCAAGGACTTCTGTGGTGAACTTACGTTCCAAATAAGTGTGAACTGTAAAAGTTTTTGTCCTCTACATATTTGACTTTCGCCAGTCTTTCCCGCAAGGTGGTGACAAAAATTTTCGTTGTTACTGAGGAGATGAATGCTTTTGAAAAGCGTCTAGGAACAATCACTCCCACCTATTTCAGGACGCCAGGATACCGACATACCTAAACAGGCTATTTTCCAACTAAAACGTTTGAAGGCGGATCTTCTAAGTATCAATGCGTGCAGGAAGGCAGTAGAAATCTGTCGTACTCAAGATTTTTAACATTATATAGCTGGAAGTCATCTGTCTAAGCCTTTGCTACTGTTATGTGTTCAAATTTCATCTCAAAACCTGTGAGTTAAACATAATGCTCATTTTTCGTTGTGTAATGAAATCGCAATGAGTGGCATACCTCTAAAAGTCTTCTTGCTATTAATTTGTAACTTTTTTTATACACGCGTTTTTAGGAAAAATTTGCTTAAGGTTTTGTATAATAACTTTAGGGGCGGATAGTACAGCGCTAGTGACACCGTTCACGACCAGCACAGTACAGTAAGCGGAATTAATCATTGGCCAGAACTACGACACTTGGGGTAATTTTCCATTTTCTTATGCATAGTTGAGTAAATATCTATAGTTTTTGACAGATTTCACAATGTCTGGCAATTTCCCCTTAACCGGCTTGTCTATCTAGGATTTCGAAAGTATAGGATGCTTCATGCAACAGCGAACATTAACCATAGCCTTCTTCTGGCGCGAATCTTTTTTAGGAATTGGTTACCAACTTCGCCACTGTTCGACCTCTACACTGAACGTTGTTGTAGAAGAATGAAGTATGAAAGCAGTATCGTCTCATTTCAGGACGAGAGAATGGGTCATTTTTTCTGCTTAGAAGAAACGAAGAGCAGACTTCAAAACTACCACTTCTTGACTTCTGGTGAAAGCGCAGAGCACTTGTTGAGCTTTCTCACGTTTTCAATTTGATTCAAATACCAAATAAATGTGGGAAGGAATAGGAAATGTGCGAATAAATGACAAATTTCATAAGCTTTTCGGAAATGTCTCATAGAGTTGTAACACGACCAACTCCAATAACTGATTTGAACTGACCGCTGGCGCCTTCCGATGGCTGACCAGTACTTTCTTCAAAGCTGTCGTCTCTTTTGTAGGCTCTCAAACTGCCACTGCACTATATGTTCATTAGTATTTCTTAGGACAAATGCGTTATTTATCAAGAACTCCACGCTCCTTACCACCCATTTTGAATAAGAGAGTTTAAGGGAATTTTCTTCTAACATAAATTAAGTTCTATCACGCTAAAACATTTGAATTAGAAAGCGACTATCAATCATCAATACAAAGAAGCACAAAGCGGGGATTGCATATTAGAATGATGTATAACGGAGCTACATTTATTTAAGATCTATTCTATTGTTAAATGGCGAATTCAAACCACTAAAAACTACATTTGCTTTTACATAAAGCTATAATAACTACAATTGTGACGAAGAGATAAGAACGAGAAAGATAATGTGCCAATTAAGTTGCTGTGTATAATGGGAGAAAGCTTCTGACGTTAATCATTCCCTGAGGGATGTGCTATGCCTTCAACTTCACCAAGTATTGTTAGAAGTGACTAAATGCATGTCCGGCCTATAAAATGACATACGGTGGCCAATTCAGCGCTGCCATCTTCCTAGACATTTCTCTCACCAGTGTGCCTACACCAGAGTGATAGAAGGCGTGCCTGCCTGGAGGCTGCGATCGAACCAAAGAAGTGTGTATCAATGGACACCTCCAACAACTGCACTACAAGTTCACAAATCGTTTTATACAAATCAGCGTATTTGACAAAAATTCACAAGTTTCCATATACTGCTAGTGTGTTTCAGAACAGCAAAAGAGAACCACTTGACTTACGGCAGTACACATTAATGTGGCCCACGGTTGAATTGCCGCCGATTTGAGCATTGGCAATGTCTCCAAAAATGGACTGATCTAAATTTATGAGAAAGATAAGCGCATCGACCATAGAAAGCATTGGATAATCGAAAAAGCAGATCCTAACACGAAGTTTTTTCGTGATCGGTTCGCATCATAAGGAGTTGCCCGCACTTTTTTGTCACCGCAAATACACCCAGCGGTGATCACTGACATGCAAAGGATATCATAACTTATACCATGAGTATTCACGTTGCATAGATTTATTTATTATTCATATTACTGCCGTTTTTTATTGATAAACTCGCATAAGATTGTTATAAAAGTTAAAACGCAAGCTGTATAAAACTTCTATGACATTCTTACCTTAACTTATCAACAAGAAAAAGTGTCACTCATATACACTGAGGTCAAACGAAATCCATTTTGCAAAAGCGTTCATATCGGGTGATATTTCGAAATTTTCGAATTAGATTAAACAAAAAATCGGCTACTAGAAGTATTTATTTGGAATGTTTTACAAGGCTTTCCAAACAACACCACATACTTCAGTAGAAACAACCACAACAATGCTATGATATTTGCACAAACGCGCTATTGTCCTTTCCGGGTGCTAACGCGTTCACCACCACACCATGCGGGTCCTGACAGTTCAGTAGAAGATTTTTCGTGGTTTCAAATAATGAACGTGAGGACTCTTATGACATAATATAAGCTTACCATCAATTTTCCGTCTGGTTTTAAAAGAAAGCTTCGTTGTTGGTTGTGAGTAAATACACCCATATCCCTTCCTATTAGTTGAGGCCAAGCAGCGTATTCGGAAAGATTGGATTTACCTAAACTAGGAAGCAGAAGGAAATTACCCTTAAAAATCAGCGAGGTTTCTCGCTTTAAAAGCGAGAAACACTAAAGAATTATTGGAGAAAATGTGGGCTAAGAATGATCCTTACTAAGGGTAGTCATTTGCATTCTTCCTATAACATCGGAGAAATACGTTACGACATCGAGTTTTCTGACAGGATCCACTAACCACTGAGCTGGCTGAGATAAGAAGTCTCTAAAACAACTCGTTTTACGCTTTCTTTCCGAAACGTTATATATCTTGACTTGAGAAGGTCAATGAATAGTCTATTCTAAGCAAATATTTTCGCATACTTTCACTTGAGACGTAAACCACCGCGGAAACCTTGAACCGGAAAGACGACAGAATCTCAGAAAGATTTAGTTCCACTCTCGATGAAGCTACATATTATTTATTATGGAACATAATATTTATTATAGAGTAAGGGGAATGCAAAAGTAAAAACTGCTAGATGTCAACTATATCATCTTGTTGATGTTGATGAGTTGCCAGATGCCTATGCAACGGAAAGCATTCGTTAGAGGTGCTCACGAATTCACACATGGTTATTGGTTCAACTCCGGGTCAAGACAAATCGCGCCACCCATTTCTCCGGACCTCGTAGATTGTTACGACAAATTGTTTGCAGGGATAAAAAATACATCTCTGAACACCGGTAGATCTCCGGAAGACATTGTGTGGGCAAAAAATGCACTTAATTAATCTTAATGGAGAGCCGAATACATGGATCACCACTAAGGACCGACATCGAACGCGTTATCCACCTTCTCTATTAGCCACGTGAAATACATACCCGGTATTTTAGACGGTTGTAGTGGAAAAACTGATTTTCAGATAAACATAAAATAGGTAGAAAAAAGGAGTTTTCTTCACAACTCGAGCCCAACCTAATTAGTACCTTCAAACGCTTCATCCGCACTTGGTTTAGTTGTTAACTAAGGATTATGGGCTCACAAAAACCCCACAAATCACTGGAAAAAAGCACCACTTAACCCAGCGTCCATTTCCTCAATTCCATGGATTCGACATCCTTAATATAGTTACGAAGAAAACGTATGCACTTGGTTGCCTTACTGTGCCTTATCGAGGAGACACCGGGGTTATTTTTTAGCAATCAACCAAAAAAGAACCGCATTACACGTACTTTCCGGTAACTTGACTGCAGCCATTTGAACGAATCCACCTACAGGATACAACCTACATACATGCAAGGAATCCCACGAAGGTATGAATCAACGCAGTTGTTTCGCCGGATACTCATTTCGAAAAAATTTCGTTCACTAACTTAGATGCTTAAATAACCTATCTTCATTTTCCGTGTTTAGTTTAGCATCACTTCCACTCAGTGTTTTGCAACTATAACTCATAGAAGCGGTTTGAGTTGTGCATTAGTCCGATAATGCGTTGAATGCTTATTATTTACTTTCCCCACGAACAGATTCAATGCTCGTCAAGCATGATTTTTAATGGAATTAAGAGATAGCCGTAAAAGAACGAGTTAAGGCCTTCACTAAGGTAGAATACTTTTAACCTGAAAAGCTTATGTCTTGGGGCTCGGATTCTTCCTGATTAAAGAGGAAAGCGAATCCCACGATCAGCTGATGGACCTATTAAGGACAATGTGGCAAATCGAATCCTTTCTTTAAAAAAATGATTTCAGCATTTTTACGCCAGGATTATAACACTCCATGATATCCAAGCAAATGAGATGACCCAGGACATCTCGTTTTAAAAGGAAACCCTTGCTTTTATAGCTCGAGAAAAGCTAACGAAGTGTGAAATTTCTTAACCAAAAAGTAACGAAACTGTAGGACCTTTGCAAGATTTTGTAGAAAATAGTCGTGAAGCCCATATCTTCACCACGGTTTGAGTAACAAGGCACCTATAATTGTTACATGTATGTTTTTCATGAACATTTGTTGACTTTAAAGCCTAACAATGCCTATCAAAAAAAATGCTTAAGAAACTTCTGTAATGCCGAGATATTTGCAAAACTCCTGACCGCAGGTGTTTGCGACGGCGAATGAACGCGCTATTACCCTTTACAGGGGCTAACGCGTTCATCAGCACACCATGCGGGTCCTTCGTTTCGTCTGTCCCTCGGCTAGTTCTATCCATCTCTGCCATCAGCAATCTCGCCAATCACCCGTCAGCGGGATTGGTCTGAGAAACCCAAACTTTGGAACCAGTTAAGCTAAAGCTGTAGATGTAGCTTACGAAACTATTTTAAAAGGAGGCAAAACATGGCACAAATTATGCTAAAAGCAACTGTGAATGTCCTATTACACAAGTCTGCCGGTTCGTTTTACTGCCCTTGTTTACTAGAGTACCTCTTTTCTAAATGTCCACTGGACGAACAGCAAAATAGTATTGTTTAAGATTGTGCGATGCCTTGATGGTTCTTTATGTTCAGCGGAAAATTGGTCACCAGCTGGTCCTAGGAAGGCGTTGCCCGTCGGCCGTCGAATGACTCGAGTTGGCGCCAGTATATCTTCCATTCCCTGTCGCAAACTAGAGTATCTCAGGTTTTGCACGCTCTAGAGAATCGTTGAGCATCATATCTTTCTTCTAGGTTTTTCGCGAAAAACGCTAGCCGTCGGGTCGATGGTCTTCTTGCAGTAAGTTAGACAACCCGAGAAGTCCAGTTACTAACGGCTCTTACCCATCGGTTATCGTTCAAACGCATCACGCGTCCCCCACACCTTATTTTTTACACTTTATCGCATTGGACGACGTCTTTGGTTTTTGATCGTTGACATAGCCCAGATCTTTAGATTCCTTCACTTATTTGCGTGATACGGAAAACTCCTAGCATCGCCCTTTTCGCTGTAAGTTCTGTAACGCTGAGTGGTTCTTCACCTGCCTATGGAGAGACCAGGTTCCGGACGCATACGTTAAAGAATGAAGAATGGAAAAGTCGAAAGCCTGAGTACGGAATCGGGTTTTTTTCTGTTCTCCCCACTAAACCTTCGATGCTCTTAAAAACTCCCCAAGCCGCTCGTCACTTGTTGCTCAGCTCCGAGACAAAGTCGTTCATCACGTTGATTTCTCAACCTAGATAGACGTAGCTAAAGCGTTGGAAATATTCGTTCTTTTAAACACGAATGTGCTATGCGAAACCAAGCCGTTTCTCAAAAACATCATTTTCATGAGATTTGGCCGAATACCAACCTGGCTGTAGATGTAGCTTACGGGGTTTCCATGGTTTCCATCTCATCTTAGTCAAAGCATTTCCGAAATCGATGAAAGACGGAGTGGTCTCTTGAACTCTGGCGATACTTCAATGAGTCTTGTTATCGTGTGGATGTCGTCCATAGCAATAAATCCTTTTCGAAACTCTGCTTTTTCACACGACGGCCTTTCGTCCAGTGCACAGTCAGCCCTGCTTGGGATGACTCCATTGAAGTTTGTAGACAACAGTCAGTAAACAGATTGAGGGATAGGAAGGTAGCACTAGAAAAATTAAAATAAAATGTATGAAGGCATATCATAAAGTGGTTCTGTAGAGTAGAAAATGAGTAAAAGCATTATGGATCTTATCTACTCAGGTATGACAGTTATGTGAACCATTTTTCACAAAAGTTCAGATAAATATCCTTAGTACGAGTGATGATTAATGGTCGTACTGCGGTTAATGAAAAAGCACTCATTAAGCTTTGCACCGTCGGTGAACAGCGGTACGAAAAAGTAGTCCAGTGAACCTTTCCGTTATAGAAAAAACTGCTGTCTACGAAAATTTTTTTTCACTTTTCTATTCACTGTCTACTACAATTTTCATGGCAGGGTACTATGCGAAAGCATCCACAACGATGCTGAGATATTCGCAGAGCTCGGACCCCGGGTCAGATCGAGCCACGATTTCTTCCCGAGGCTCGCACATTACACACCGTGCCACGGAGGTCCTTACTTTGTTGATGGCATTGGTAGATAGGAAGCTAGGTGGAAAAAATGGCATCACTGGGTCCATTGCCGATGTAGGATCTACAGATCAATCCCGTTGTCGGGTGTTTGTAATTACCAAAGAGTTTTTCGTCTTTTTGTAAGTGTTATTAAAGCGTTTGGCCTAGTAGATTGTATATCAGTATATCCTTTCAAGCTCTGATGAAGGCGATACTGCTGAAACGTCAACTACTGCCCTTGCGGTTCAGAGGGAGATTTACCACCATGCGACCTTAATACCACGGCCGTGGTAGATACTTGCATTAGTTTACTCTTAGCTAGGCTTCCTGATAGAAACGCCGGACTCCTTCTCAGCTTGGGAGACCCTGTCAGGGAATGAATACCCAACTGTAAATCGCAGTCCAACACCCAGGAACACCTCCCAGCCACGATGAGGCGGTAGGCCGTTGGGAGGAATGCTCCAGCTATGTCCATCTAAATCAGGGAATCAACGTGTTGCACGACTTAGCTCCACAGTTGAGCGGAAAAAAATGAGCGGCTTGAGGAGCTTTCAAGAGCATCGACGATGTAGTGAAGAGAGCAAAAAACACCGAATTTTGTGCCCACATTTTAGACTCAACAATGCTTTCTGCCCTAACGTATCTCCTGTATCACCGGAAGCCCCGTTGATCGTCGACTGACCCGAGCGAGCGCCAGTGAATCTTTCATTTTTCCTTGTCACGTGCAAGAGTAGCCCAGTGGGTCCTGCTCGCTCTAGGGACACGTCGGGCATCATATCTTTCTTCTAGGTTTTTCGTGGAGACGGTGGTCTTCGCGCAGTGCGCTTAACATCCCGAGGAATCTAGCCACCAACGGCTCTTGTCCATCGGTTGTCGTTCATACGCATTACGTTTCCGGCCCACCTTATCTTCGACTGTTTAGCGTACGGAACGGCATCTTTGATTTTTGATCGTTAACGCAGGTGAGAGCTTCGAATCCATTTCCTTACTTTTCTCAGAATAGTGCAATAAACCTAAATTCTCCTAGGACTTAACCTTAGTAGCTCTGATTTTTTTCTAGTTAGTGTTTGTTACACTAACTGCGGTATATGCACTGGAACCTGTTCAAAAATAAAATAATCCCAGGTTACAGTTTTACTGAAGATTCTCTTCGTTCCATCAAAGTTCAGTCTATTCTCTTTCTCAACATAGCCATTTAATAGCAAAGAACTCTAAATCAGGAACGAAAAATTGAAAAACCCAACATTTTTATGACTTCCGGACTTTGATCGCATACTGCTTCAATTTTTTTTATTGCGAAGGGAAAAACATTGAGCAAAACATACCTCGAAAGGAAATCCAAATGGTTCATATATCTGTTTCACTACAATACCATAATAATCTTGTTGCGGAATTCCGTTCTCGTCCCTAAAATGTAACAGTCTTAAGATGCGAGCATAGAACACTGTTGAATGCGGAATATAAGAAAATCTTACGTGATACTTGATACTTGAACGGCCCCTCAACACAGGCTGTGCCGGCCCCAGCATAATCATCATTTTTTTAAAAATTTGCTGATTACACCGTTGTGGTTTCCTGGAATCCCAAGCTTAGCCTGGCCAAAGTCTGCCCCAGGTCTTCACCACCACAGGCAGTCGCAGCCCTGTGGATCAGAGGGAGATTTGCCACCATGCGATTTTGATGCCAGGGCGGTGGTGGATCCTGGTATTGGTTTACTCCTAGCTAGGTTTCTTGATGGAAACGTCGGACTCTTTTTCAGCTTGGGAAACCCTGCCAGAGTGAAATTCTCTAGCTGTACATTGCAGCCCGACACCCAGGAACACCTACCAGCTACGATGGACGGTAAACCGTTGGAAATATCACGTTTGCTGTTGTGGTGACAAGAAAATAACTAGTGAGAAATTCTTTGCCAAGAAAAAAACCACAATTAGAGATTCACATAGAATTAATAGAAAACTATAATATTTTTGCTCAGAAAACAGCATTTCAAGAAGAGCCAGAGCGATAAAAGTGGCAAAATATAAATGAGAAGGCTCACGGCGTTGCTCAGTCCTTAGAGATGCGCCATGCTTTAACTTCATGGAGCATCGCTAGAAGGGACTGAATGAATTCCTAGCCTATAAAATTGCTCGCGGTGCGCTGCCGAAGAATCGAGTCAGCTCAACTGTCTTCCCAAATAGGGCTGGTAACAATTTGCCCACCCCGGATGGATGGAGAGCTTGGTGAGCCTAGGGCGCGGGACAGGAGGACCCACACGTATCGCAGGACAACGGAATACATACTAGATAAGCTAGTGCGTTTAGTGAGAACTTAGTATTATAGAAACTAGATCAGAGTATTTGCTGCTTATTGCCAATAGGGAACCATAGCATTCTAGTTATAAATAGCTCCTATATCGAAAATTCTACCATTTAATTATCTAAATGGAGCGTTTTACACATGAATTTTGTAGCTAACCCAATGTATTCAGTTCGAGTTAAAGATGCATCAGCCATCCATGCTGCAGTAGCACCGTCCAGATCAGCATCCATGTCTTTAAGGCGATGCAGTGGAGCCTCACGCCAGAAGGGACCATCCCGACTACTCAGACGCCTTTGCATGTCTTCTTCCACTTGTTTAAAGTTTTTCCTAGGGAAGCAATATTATTATTTTTCAACAAAGAATAAATGCATGTATAACCATGGTGAAAGTGGTGCATAGATTTTAATCTCAATCAACAAAGTTGATTATGAGGAGAATTACATTCGGCTATAGTTATAGAGTTAAACTGTTTTCAGGTGTTTACGCGTTGTAAGCAATGCGGGTTTTGGCAAGTGTTTGTGACGATTTGATGAAGGTATGACTCCTAATAAGTTCATTTCAGAACGGCGAGATAAAAGATGATTTTTGTGAAACTGAAAAAGGATTTAAGTGGTTGTTTTTCTAAATGCGTCTTCTTAATATGACTCGTTTATAGAGCTGAGATATTTGCAAAACTCCGGACCGCAATTGTATGCGGTGGGGAACCAACGTGTTATTGTCCTTACCGGGGAGTAGCGCACTTCACCACCACACCATCCAGGTCCTTCGTTTTTGCCTATCTTTCAGCTCGTCCTATTGATCTTTTGCAATCAGCAATCACCCGTCAACAGGATTGGTGTGGTGGTGAAGTGCGCTACTCCCCGGTAAGGGCAATAGCTCGTTCGTTCCCCACCGCATACACCTGCGGGCCGGAGTTTTGCAAATATCTCAGCATTATATACGAGTTATATTTCGCAACACATCCTGGCATTAAAAAGAAAAAGGCAGCAAATAAAAGGGTTAAGATTGTGTGTCTTTTAAAGTTTAATACTTAAATTTTTTACTAAGCCTTTTAGTACTGAAATTCTTTGGTCATGATAGTTCGTAATTTTGAGTATTTGCGAACGGTACTTTTTCTACCTTCAGAAAATCTCTGTTTTAGAAGAGATGATTACCTGGGATATAATATCTTAGCGAGTTCTTCGTTACTAACAGCAGTTTCTCTAAAAGAATATATTACTAGCATCAAGTTTTTTGAAGAGCTACATTTAACTTAAAAGGATCCATTAAAGAGATGGATATGACTTCTGTGTTCACCCCCGCTCCTCTTCAGATTTTTCAGAGAACGCAATTAACGAGCCGTCATCTCGAAGTGGAAACTTGTAGCTACAATAAAGTATAGTCCTTGGAAGAAATTTCGCGCCTTCGCTGAGATCTGAAAAGGAAACTCACAGTGGTCAACGGTGCACATTAATTGAAAACTGAAATCGAATCACTACATCGATTGAATCATAATGGACGAACACCGTTTAGTGTAGTTCTACGAATGGGACACGAGCAGTTTGGCGTCAGCTGTGTACTTTCTTGTTTTGATAACGGAAAGTAATTTTCAAATACTTGGAGGGACTTTGAGGTTGTCAATATGAAGCAGTTATTGAAGCGACTTTGATCTGTCGTTCTATGGGTGTGAATGAATACCTATGCTAACATTTGCGGTGTTTTACTGCGACTCCTTACGTAGTTACAGTGCTTCCAGAATTCAGAAGTATTTGGCACCACCTGCTGAATCCATTTAGGTGTTTTTTTTTATATCCGCACATTCTATACAATATAACAAATGAAAGAACGCTTAATAACTGTAGTAATGTTTAATTTTTTATTTGCTGCCTACTACTTTTTATGGCAGAGTAGGTGGACACTCCATTTTCCATGTGTGGAATAAAACCCCAATAATGCTGAGATACTTCCAATACTTCTACCTTAGGCCAGTTCGAACCCGCGCTTACCCGTTCCGGGAGGCACGAGTTGCCCACCTTTACCAGCGATGGCCTTGGTTTGATTTTATCTCAGGTTGTTCACCCCACCATTGCTATCGGCAATTCCCTAACAACGGAAAAGATCTGTGAAACACATGTACTGGTCAACGAACTTTTAAAAAAGTGTTCTTTTTTTGTGAGCCGTTAGACAAAGAGGGTGGATTTCTGGTCTCAGCCCTACTATACTATTCCAATCTTCTTTCGATAATTTGTCGAATGAGTATACATTGAGTGGTAAAAAAATTCAGAAACCAGGTAAACGAAAAATGGGCACTACAGTGCTCATATAAGGCCCAGGGAAAAAAACTATGGGCACTATAATGTCTACTTGAGAGTTATAGGGTTAAGTATTGCTTCTAAGAGATTGCATGCAGTGATTTCAATGTATTCGTGAGTGCGAATACACTTTTGATTGTTCATTTCGCCGAAAAGAGTTCACTTTCTGTGCTTTTTGCATTCAATAGACGGTTTATCTGACACAGATGTTAGGGCAGAAGCGGTCTGTGAAACAGTATGCTCTCACTTAATTTACGAAGACCCCTTCAGACGAATTTTCAGTGAATACGAATTTAAGAATTTCGCAGGATTTCGATCCATGCTTAAATTATTTGTGAAAGAACGACTGAAATAGTATTTCGTTAAAATCACGCTATCATATGGATGGTTTTTCCGCAAATACCTGGACTGGGATGACTTATGCCTTGTGACCGAACAGTTGGTAGGAGCAGAATTACAACCGCATACAGAGCATCAAACATTTACAATGATGATTCCAATGAACACACCCGATATTTCTAATCAAATCATAAAAAAGATTTAACGATATCACTCATTGTATACTTTGATTAACCATATGCATATATTATGCGAATCTCAGTCATCAAAAAAGGCCCATGCAGTGCAGTCAGTAGTCGGGAGCGGCCTGCGATATAAATGAGGTCGATCCCCGCGCCCCTGACTCATCAAGATCCTTCCTTCCGGGATCGGCAAATTGGTACCAGACTTGTTTGGAAAGATAGCAGCACTGGCTCAACTCATCGGTAGGCTATCGTATGTCACTGGAGAGACCATATATCAATTCATCATCTCCAACGGTGCTTATTGAAGTCAATGTGTGACGCATACCTCAAAAATTGATCAATGCTAACAGCTTTATCCCTTATCCTTTTTATCTCAGCCATCCGCTCACATCGTTGTCTTGGAAGTGTTAGCCAAAGTGGTGGTGGAGCTCACGTGTGGTTTCAACTGCAATTTCAGGCTGTTCAGGGTCTTCACTTCTCATCATGCTGTTCTAGTGTGATTTTCGGTGGATGTGAGAAAATGCTTGGCTTGAGCGCTTTCAGGTTTTCATTATGCGCAGTAATAGACGGTTGTGGATCAAAGAGAGAGTTGCTGCCTTGTGATTCGGTTTCTCGGTTTCTTCCAAGACAACAGCGACTCTTTTGAAGACCATGATTGGAGCGGTTAGGCGACCGACTGTCCAAAGATGACAAGGCAGTTGTGATGTTGTTCAGCCGCGTAATTGTAATTTCAAGGTACACGAGTAAAAAGCTTTCAAAGTTTAACACTTGCTTTGTAAAACAGCCAAAACCCAAAAAAAAAACAAAAGAAAAAAAAAAAACTATAGACTATGCGGAAGGTTATCTGCAAAGACTCCACCTCCGAAAGAATTTGCATTCACTCAGTTAGATGGTCTCCTCTACGAAAACAGTCGATCGCATGTCATTTCGAAGGTATATAAGCACCTAGAAACGGTAAGGAAATCGTTCGATGTTTATCATTTGGCACTTTGCACCGAATGATTTTCATCTGCTCTGCAAAAATTTTATGTTAACCACTTTCGCCTTCTTCGACGACGTCAAGTTGTAAATCGAGCAGTCGTTTGACAGTTGCCGCAGATTTGCCAGAAAAGCACGCCATTTCTAACTGAACTCTACATGAACGTTAATCTCGACTGCTCACCGAGAATAGATATTGTGCAACATAAAGTCAAAGGCCTTTAAATATTTGAAGAATTTGTTTTTCATTTATTACATGACTCGAAATCATGTGTAGCACGAGGTGTCGATCCGAGCACTTGTTGCATTCGATTCCTTGCACCGAACATTCATCAAGATCTTCAAACCTTTTTTCATTTGTGGTTTCAATTGCTACTCAAAATTTTTTTGGCCTTCGTGGCGAATATCGTTTAATGGTGGTCAACTTGATTGTTTTTTTAGTCCTGAGATAGCCGTGCAAGGGCGCTTCCTTGTGATTTGGAAGAAGTGGGCCGGTCCCAAACGAGCCTTGTGCTGACATTCCGAACCCCGGATAGTTGGGAGGATTTGTGGGCAGGTTTGAAACAGCTCAAGTTGGTTGCCTCGTCAGCGTAATGAGCATCAACACTGCCACTGTCTTAGAAGCCACTTCAAAGTACATTAGGTGATAATACTACTGAAGCAAAAAAGTAAGAAAAAAGGATAAAAATAAGAAATGTATGATGGTATAATGAATCGGGGTAGGTATCACATTGGTAGTAATGCCGGTCATCACGAACACTTCGATCTCATTCCAAGGTCACCAAGCCTCTCGTCGCTCTGGGTCGGGAAATTGTTAGCGGATTGGTTCGGGAAAGAAATTACTCCCTGCATTCCAATTGAGAACGCTCCGGCTTGGGTATCTCAGGATCTCGGTGAGAATCTACTTGACCAGCATTTTATTACATTCAAGATGAAAGCGCTGGAACCCCCACAGTAGATGTGAATACGGGTCGTGTAAAATAAAATGAATAAAAAATCGCATAGGATGGAGAGGCAGAGATGGCTTTATGAGACAGACAACAACCTCTATGATCGGTATAAATCTTTTCCAACACGAATTTTCTTTTCCCAATTCTTATCGGCTATATAAACTGCGGCTTCAGTCTCATTACAAATTCCTGTTGTCTACTAAAGTTTTCAGAGAAGGTCTGTTAGACAAACACATATGGAACTGTGTAGAGAATCAGAGCTGGACCATAGAAAACCAGAGTCTCCCGTCGCATTAAACATGTACAGTTCGGTTTTTAATTGTGCAACGAGTGGCTAACTCATAACGCTTTTTTTGGGTACAATAGTATCCGTAGCGAACTAGGTCAAAAGACCATGTGGACACTATAGTGTCTACAATGAGTTTATTAGGTTGTAATGCTTTTTCTTACAGCACTCTGATTACTCATCCAATAGCTAATCGAATATAACAAATTAGTAGGGGTGAGATCAGAAAAGCCACTTTCAAAACTTAGTGATTTACAAAACCCTTCTTTTGTAAACGTGCACTGGCCGACAATTTGACTAGAGATTTTGCAAAGCCCCGGTTTGCGGACAACTGCTGCCCAGGCCTTTGCAAATGTCTCAGCATCGTTGTCGTCATGTTTCACGTCATATTCTTCTATAAAAAATGAATAGGCAGTAAATAAAATGTGGTTACCTTAACACCTAGCTGTCTGGCTTTTTATTTAGTACCTATTATTTTTTCATGGCAGTGTATTACGTAAAATACAATCACAATGATACTGAAATATTTGCAAAATATGAACCCCAGGCCACATTCGAGTTCGCGATTACCCTTTCTGCGGCTCACGTGTTACCCACTGCACCATTGAAAGCTTTCCTTGTTGAGTGATTGCTGATGGCATCGCTAGGGTAACAAACTGGATGAGAGAAAGGCAAAGCATAGCCCTCACTGGTGCAGTGGGTAGCGCGCGAGCGGCCGGGAAAGGTAATGGTGGTTCGATCTGACCCTGATACAAGTTCTGAGAATATCTCAACATCATTGTAGTTGACAATTAATTGGTTTTTATTTTAATCATTGTTGTCGTCGTATGGAATGCGCGGATGAAAAACACCGAAATGGTCTCAACATAAGATGCAGAATACTTCAAAATGCTCACAGCGTAATGGACCATAACAACATGCACCAAATAATAGCATACATATCATTCATAAGCATAGAACCATCGAGCAAAGTCTGTTCTACAATTCTGTCACCTTCACAAACCCAGGAACACTAATTATTGAAAAACCTTTTTTACTGTCAAAAAACCATAACGTCCACGGACGGCGAGAAATTCTTCTTAATCGGTTGAGCAAAGCACGAAATCCGGTAGAGGGGCGTATGGGTTAAAGGCGTCGTACAGTGCACAAATATCCGTCGCTTCGATCTCACTCTCACTGCAAAACAAACCCTCTATCTATCGGTTGTGGGCAGATCGATAACAGAATTGCCTGAGAGAGCAGAAGTACTTAAAAATACCTGTCCGACTTATGGGTAGTTTGTCTCCACAAGCTTTTTTAAGTGCAAATACATGTTCAGGGCTCAGAAAGAGCACTGGCGTTGTCGCCGTTCATTAATACGCGTAAGGTCTGAGCTTGGACCCCGTGTCGGGCCGGCCAACTCTCTCGTCTCTTCGTGAAATTGGTGCCAGATTTGCTCGAAAATCCTTCACTCCAATCCACAAAAAGGTTAGTGACAGCATGAGTACTAAACGACGTCCATAAAGAAGACCAAAATCCTTTGCCGGTAGGCGAACTCCCACGCAAATCCGAAAACTTCATTGATGCCATATGCAAGAAATCCGATCGAATAAAAGAAGCTTCTGACAAAATGTGATCCTTTATGCCTCTGTAATGGGTCGAGACCTGTGGTGCAAAAACTTACAATAGTGTGACAGCAGAGTGGTATGAATGTAGATGGATTTATTTTTATCTCATGCAATGATTGAAAATGACTGAAGAACACCGAATGATTCACGGAAGAACACAGAGGATATGGAGGATACCTAAAACAGAAACGCAAAAAATTTCTCCGAAAACACATGGAAAAACATAGACAGTTACGGAGCGAAAAATGCAGAAAACGGACATACCTATTCTTTGAAGAGGTATTTTGGCCAGTCTGGCATTTGCAGAAATCACAGCGTGTACGACGAAGAATTTGAAGCTGTTCAATGAAGCCACCACACAAAATAAGGCCTCTTCACATTTGTACTAAAAGAATATTCCCATTCTACTGACGTCTCGTCATTCGAATTTTTTAACGTAGGAAAAATTATTTTGAAAGAGCAAAATAATTTTCATTTTTATTTCTTTTTTTAATTTTCTACTTTCATTTATTTTGAAAATTGTTTTGCTACTCGCTTTGCAGTAGCTTACATAATACCGACTGCTACAGGATAGATTATCCGTTGAAAAACAAACTGTTACCAACGGATAGTCTTATCAACAACAAACGCCTTGTTTGAAAGAGTACTACCGGGTGTACATGGCTCAATCGCACCGTGTTCACTGAAGAAGATCCCGTCTGGGTACGACAACGAAGACGCCACGGCGAGAAGACGGACTACTGTGGACCAATGACTTGGATTATCGGCTCTGATAAAGACGAAGACATCGAAATGTTAGCCGAAATGAAAATATTTATCAAACTCGTGTAAGTTCAACAATTTAGAAGTACATTTTGAACGAATTACACATGCACAAAGCGATGAGGTAACGTTCCTATCCAAGCTTTTTATGTTTTCGTGTTTTCAAGTAGAAATAAAATGCTGTCGTGTGTGTGTTAAAGATCTCTGAAAATTATGGTAAAAAACGCCTGTACCAACACAAACAATCTCGCTCCTAGCCAGGTCGTCTAGTGAGTTATCGATGAAAATTAGTGAAAATTACCCGGCATTCGTGTGAGCGCACGTTAGCTTGCGGTTCATTTCATGCGTTGATCGTCTCGTGCCGGCCAATGTGGC